TGCAATGATATTCTTTATCTCAATGTCTAAATTGACTCATGTTTCTGATAATTCTTTTTATTATCGATGTTATATCTCTTCTTAAATCATATGAATCATTTTATTTTCCTGATGATTTTTAATTTTATTTACAACTTTATCTCAATCACTTTCAAGGATCAATTATCAACGGATTATCATATGATTTCTTACATTTTTGTTTTTATTCTTTTTCTTCTTCACTTTTTGTTGTTATCAAAAAAGAGGAGAAAATATTATTTGTTCATATTTTTTGTTCCGTATCGTATTTGTTCGTATTTTTTGTTTCGTATCGTATATGTTTGTATTTAAAAAAAAAGAGATAAAATTGTCATTGTCATGCAATGCCTCCTTATTCTCACATGTTTATCAATTTATGGGGAGTTTAGGAGAATCTTAGAATTTGAAAATTATACAAACAATAATTATTTTGTCATCATAAAAAAGAGGGAGATTGTTAAGAGAGCTGTTATTTGCATGTTTTACATTCTTGCAACTTATATAGTTTTGATGATTCCAAATATTATTATTTTAAGTATTATATTCTCCTAACACTTTTTGGAAGAATTATTTTTACTCTTGTGTGAACTAACATTTCAGGATAATCGAACTCCAGACTAATAAAGGCTTCAAATCAATTTCAGCATAAGATAGTTTATAAATTGAAGTCTGTATTTTTTCAATTTATTGAGTTTGACAGAGTGTGATTGTAATTGAATAACTTAGCACACACACACACACTTGGTGAGACCTTTAAAAATCAAATTTTCTTATATTAATCGTACGGGACAAACCAAGTTCGTACGTGACGATCAGGTCAGTTATCCCCTCGGAAAAGCAATAGAACGAACAGGAAGTGAGATAATTTTTCTAAGTCCTAATCGTCCAAATAAATTTTCCTATTCATCCCGGGACGATGTGCTCTGGATGCTCACTTTGAACTGTTCGTCCAGATGAAGTGTATCATTCGTTCCTGGATGATGGGCTCTAGATTTCTCACTTTGTATTCATCGTTCTGACGAAGTGTATAATTCATCCCAGGATGATATGCTCTGGATTCTCACTTTGTACTGATAGTCCAGATGATTCATCCTATTTGTATCAGGACAAAGTTCTCTAAACACATGACATGAACTATTCGTCCAGACGAACACTCATATTTGTCCCAGGACGATGTCCTCTATTCCTTAAAAATTTGGGACCGTCCTGCAGTTTCGTCTGAACGAACCCTTGATATAATTGTTCGTCCCAGGACGAACTTAATTCATACGAGACGATAATCGGGTACGAAGTCAATTCGTACCAATATATATTGGGTTCGTATGCAACTATTTTTACAATATTCATACAGGACGATCTAACGATTGTCCGGGATGATCGATTGTGTACAGACTTGAAAGTCAGCAGTTTTTGGACGATTTTTCGTGTCTTTCCTATATAAGGTCCACTTAAAACTGTCTTGTAATCTTTTTGCTTACTAGTCTTCGTATAAACTGAAGGGAGAGTGAAGGAGAGAGTGTTTGAATGAGGTTCTTACTACTGGAGCGTGAATGGTTCACTTGGTACTCAAAGGTAAGAATCTCCAATTGTGATTTATAATTACTTCACTCTTTTCTCTCGTCCTTCTAGATTTCTCATGAGAAGATCTGTCAAGGAGATCCGATTATCTACCGACACTCGTGGAGTGTGAACAGCCGAAGGATTCTCTGCCTACACTTGGAGAGTGTGAACAGTTGAAGGGTTCTCTTCCTACACTTGGAGAGTGTGAAAGGACGAAGGGTTCTCTGCCCACACTTGGAGAGTGTGAAAGGACGGACGGGTTAGCCGCTGGGATATAAGCTTAAGTCTAACAACCTAATTCATATTGAACAAGTTTTAACAAAGACGACAGGCAATGAACGTAACAATGCCTTGCAGTCAATATCAACAACTTGCATACAACTAATGCTATTGCAAACAAGTGCACTATGTTGCCCGTGAATGAGAATGGTAGGCATGATATAAGTACAAGGATCTCCCTACAAGCACATTCAAGGGGGTTGCAATAAATGTATAAGTATAAAACCTATGAAATGATGGTTCATATGAACGTTGGATATGACACTAGTATAGCAACTCTCCTACAAGCACATTTAAGAAGTTGCAGTTGATCCATAAGTAGGGAATCTATGATGTGACAATACATATGCAAGCTAAAATCAGAAGCCCGCTATGAACAAGTGCTCCTGCAAGCAATTATGGTAAATATGTTGTGCACAATAGTCCATCTATGGATGACGACGAGCAACATGCAGCAGATATTAAATCATCCATACAGCCAACAATCATGAAAATATATTGACCCCTTGCAAGTAAGAATTTAACAAATAAATGTACAAGGCTATCCTACAAGTAGATGAGATAGATGTGTAGTGAACAGTAACTAGCCAGCTAACATGCATAAGGGAAATCAGTGGAGAATGTGAATCAACGGGTAACCCACTTCAAGATGCAACTGAACAACTTAGCTCACTTGCAAATGGTAATGTCCCTTGTATACTTATGCATGCAACAGACAATAAATGCTGGAGCATTCTTGCAATCAATGGAGACGCATCATCAAGAAAGTGCATCGACCCACTACAAGAAAGAGTAGAAAATGTAATAGGTGTGAACCCCTACAAGCTAATGTAAGAGATCTACTGCACCTGATACATGTTGCAGACCAACAAGCGCAAGGAAATCAACAATAAATGCATATCACTGGTAGTCAATAGCAACATGTAGATGAAGATGGATGTGTAATTATTATGAAGATGCCCTTATAGTCAATGATTATCACGTAGCTAGCAGATACACAAGCTCCCTGCAGGCGAGTACACTAACTCACCTACAAACAACAATGCTCTCCACAAGCACCTATAATAGTGATGATTAAGACACCGCAAGTGTGGTAGATCCCTTATGAGCATAGAAGCATGCTCACTCTACCAGGACTGAAAGTTTTATTGATCAAGTACAACTAAGTCCTTCAATTAATTATTCCATAAGATTTTGATACTATAACCTTCCATCTACAATGGGTATATTATATACTAGAATGTCGTTGAGACATCAAAGATGACCTTTCACTATGTCATATTCATGCTTTAAGGAGACTACCTCATGATGAGTCGAAGACAAAGCAATTTAATGAAGCACCAACCGAGCCTTTGTTCTCATCAGATGAGGATACCTCATCTATCACAAAACAATATTATGTCGTTTGGATGTCCTTATCTAGTCTAAGCAAGGATCGATAATTTATAAATCTAATCTCTAAGAAAGAAAAGGCAATCATAAGGTAGCTTGCTAGACTAAGTTGTGTGATTTAACTTATCAATGGAAGTAGAATGCAACTTATGTCATGGCTGCTACGAATAAGGATGGAGCCTACATCAGAATAATGAAGTTTCTCATGACTACGTCGGATGACAATGCTACGATTCGTCTGTAAGCAAAAGTAGAAAATCTATAGTAAAAACTGCAAACCACAGGTACACTGAAGTTATAAACTTACAGCGCCAATATCACCGGATCCGCAACACTCATGCAAGCGGGCAAAAAGCATTTGGAGATTCCTAAATAAATTTGGCACGTTTACTAATAGTGGGTATTTGCATGGTTGATAATCACAAAACACCCATTTGCACAGTATATATATATATATATATAACATCATACATACATTGCAATATGCATTTTATTATAACAGTGCATTGCATTTACATGTCAATGTGTTGTACAACGTGTATCGTAACTTATAGAATACATTACGCAACATGTCATCCGACATTGCAAGTATATTTCATGGTGACCTTCGGCAGGCATTTGTAGGATGCTGAAGATTTCATTCTAGCATGTCATTTGACATTGCAACAAAGTCGAGGGTTTCATTCCAACGTGTCATTCGACGCAGTCATGAGATACTTCATTACTCTTTCGCGTGCTTTGAGGCTCCAAATAAAAGACAATATAGAGTCAGGCGAAAACGATTCATGATCTATTGGGCTACAAGCCGAGCTCTTAGGGGCCATATGCTACAAAACACATTGTGACTGTAAGCCAATATGGGCTCTTCTACTTGTTTTTAAACTTGAAAAGCAGAAAGTACCGAAGATGGAGCCAACAATGCAGACCTTTATTCCACCTTAACTTCTAAAACATATTTTCTGAGAAACATATTTTCTAAAAGTTTTAAAAATAAAAGAAAATAAATCTAGTCTTGAAGCTAAAAAAAAATAAAAATAATAAAATAAAAAATAAAATAAAATCAGTCTTGATGCATCATGAAGTATAATGCATCCATTATGCTTCTTTTTATTGGAACTAGAGAAGATATAACATCCGTCTACTTTGCTAAAATTGCTTCCATATCCTTGAAACATAGGCTTCGTTTGGGACAGCTTTTGAACTGCTTTTTAAAACGATTTTTTGGTACAAAAATTTCAAATTCAAAAAAATTTTATACCAAAAACCTGTTTTAGAAAGCAAGAAGAAAGCCACCCCAAACAAAGCTATATGTGAGCAAAAAATTTTAATTAAAACTTGAATTTTAAAATGGGGGGTTAAATCTATAAAACAATAATTGTCAGGAATTCAGAATTTAATTTATGATGCTACCCTTCCAATAATTGTCAGGTAACGAGACATATAAAGGCTCCTTTTTGATTCACTTTTCTTTGACAAAAAGATCTAAATTCAGACTGAACAAGAATGAAATGATCAGCTTGCCAAATATATCAAATATAATTTTTTTCTAGTATAGGTGGCTAGATAAGTTTATTTCTCTCTAGAGGTTCAGATTCCCTATAATGGCATATCGTAAAGATCTGATCTTCAAAAACATTATCAATTTGACTGCCAATGCACACTTAAATGCAGGTTTCTAAAATATTGCTTACTCTTTTCACATTTCTATTCCCAAACATTTTTATATTTTGATTTAACAACAAAAAAAAAGAAGAATCAAATATATTTTTATTTTAAATGGAAATGAAAACAAAACAAAAATAAATAAATACAAACAAAATGAAAGCAAAGAAAATACAAACAGAACCTAATCATCTCTCTACTCCTTTCTTAAACATTTAGAAGCAGAGAATCGAAATTAACAGAGATAGAGAGATTATTACATGCGGAGTCCGGACATAGAAAACTGTTCGGTTTTATGACTGTGAACAATAAAATTACAGTTACTGATCACCACTACGCTTTTACTGTTCACCCTAGCGCTTTTACTGTTTACAATCACAAAATTGAACGGTTCTCTGTGTTCGGACTCCGCACGTAATAATCTCTCTATTTTTAGAGCATATAATGGTCAGTAACAAAAAGGGAAGTTGGATTATCCTCAATTACTGATTATTTGATAGGATGATTAGGCGCACAATTTGTCCGGAAAGCTTGAATGATTTTGCAGCTTCTTTCAGGCACTTATTCTTTGCAATGCGAGGCCAATGCTTCGAACACAGAAAATCCCGTCACAAGAAGCAAATATAAGAGCTAATTGGCAAGAATAAATCTTCATTTTCATGGAACTGAAAACATATATAAGCTGAGTAAAGAAATACCTCTCCGAGCTTATTGAGATTCTCCCTCACATTTTTCAGCAATTTCTGGGCATCTCCTTCCCATTTGTAGAACTCTAGTTTCCTCCCTAACAAGAGCTTCTCACAAACCTAATCAGAACGAAACAATAAGCACTTTATTTCCAGAAGCATAAAAACAAAAGAAAACTTCATACTTCTTATAATTTTTACTGCTTGAATCAAGTTCATGAATTTTTTTTTCATACACCGAATTCCTAGTGTTTTAAAAGTGTTACACGCAAGAAAAATTATTCTGTGCGGACATCGAAGGCCGTCCAAAGACCAACCAGAATGTGCCACATCACCATGCTCGGTACCACTCGGAACCGCTGATGTGGCGCATTCTGGTTGATCTCGGGACGACGTTCTGCATCTAATATCCGCACATAATAATTTCTCTACACGCAATGCAAGGCGCAAGTCTTTTTTGCTTCAATGTGCAAAGTACAAAGCAACGCATCCCCTTTTATACAAGATTTAAAATTGTGCAATTGGATATTGATGCGTTTTTTGTCCGTGAGGTGAGGGCTAATCATCAAGGCATTTTGAGACGTAAGCCTCATAATCCAAAAGTTGCATGATGTAAAAATGAAGGTCTACATGCTTTTTTAGCATCATAATCAAATAATATATTATAAGGATAACTTAGTAATTAATGATCTGATTCCTTAAGCATTTTTGTCACTTTAGCACAGGATGGCACATTCTTGTGAGAACTAGATACATGTTCCTTCATCATTGTTATACAACCCTCCACTTTATCACAATAATTGCATAAGTTTTGTCACTGTCTCTTACATCGATTTGTGTGCTATGATTCCACATCAAGCCCTTCCTATGACCGGAAATGGATTTTTCCTTGCCTCTAACCATTCTCTATAAAATCCTCGAATGGAGCAATTAATTCAAAGGTGAGAACAATACAACATTCAAATAATGAAACAACAAAGCCATCTAATTAAAACCAAGTTATTCAAAAAAAATGAATGTTTAAAAAATTTCATTAAAAAAATAAAATAGGTAAAGGAGTGCTTTGGAATGAAAGAAAGTTGAAAAATAGGAAAAGGAGGGGGTGGCGACTGCATCAAGCTCACTTGGCTCGCCGGCAATGGAAAACAGAGGCTAGTGGAAAGTAGAGTGTTTCTTACACTGGATGGAATTGCTCATGGAAGTCTTCATGAAGTCACAGTTTTCACTCTCCGGTGCATGTTTGTAGTTGAGTTGGATTAAGGTTTAATGGTTCATTACTTTTGATAAAAAAATTAATAATAACTTAGCTCTTGAGGTGTACGCCTCAAGATGAAGAGGCAAGATGCACCTCTAGGCGTTCCTGAGCCAAACCGAGGCGCACACCTCATAAGAATGACTCGAGGCATACATCTTAAGGCATTTTTCTATATTTACATTGAGGCACGCCTCACGCCCATATTACGCAATTTTAAACAACACTACTTTATTAACTAAAATGCTCATGAGCTATATAATATATACACATATATCATGTGCATAAATTGATGACCAGCTAGATTGGCATATGCATGTAGTGTGAAGTAGGAATGTAGGTGATCCGAGTAGGGTTGCACGTGAGCCGAGCCAATAAAAACTCGACTAGCTAATGAGCTCATGAGTCGAGCTTGTTGAGCCATGAGCTTGAGCTTAAATTACAACTTGTTTATTAAAGAAGCTCTACTTCGAGTTAAGCAAACTCAACTCACGAGCAAGCTCGATTTGGATTTATAGTTGAAATTAAATACCATTTATTCCTTTAGATTAACAGTCTAGCTTCCATGTCACATCACAACTTCTTATCTCATTGACCCACTTATCACAACTTCATCGATACTTCTCTAGTGAGCTCCCACCATTGGTCTCGCCAATCCTTCTCTAGCAAGCTCCCACCTTTGGTCTCATCAATCCTTCTCCAATGAGCTCTCACCACAACTTAATATGTGGGCTCACACTGCTAACCTTGTCAATACTTCTCCAAGGAGCTCCCAAGCCCCACCAGTGGTCTGATCAATCCTTCTTCAATGAACTCAAGTTGCAATTTCCTCTTTTTTTTCCTAAGTAATCGTATCAAGCTCGAGCTTTGGAATAAACGGACAAGCCAAGCCTAAGCTCAATGTATGAGCACAACTCAAGTTCAAGTTGAGGCTTTAAGCCTTTAACCAATGAATTAAGCTCAAGTTGGCTATAACTTGAGCTTGAATCGGCTCAATTACACCCTTGGTGCGAGGTGAAGATGGGGCATTCAAAAGTATTCTTGAACAAAAGCTTGTAAGCAAGAAGCCACTAGAACCAACAATAAGAACTAGTGAAAAGTGTATAAGAACTAGAAAATAGTGAGCTTGGATAGAAGTGACACTAACAAGTGACTAACTCCACAGAAGATGATGGAGATTCAAGGAGCAATGACTCGAAGATAATGAACAAGAATGAGAAAAAGAAATTGATCATGCCTAATTATTATGGCAGATGTTGAATCAAACCATGATATCTAAACAATGATTTCACTTTGAGTAGGAGTCGACCGCATAATGTTACGACATGATGCAGTCAAGCTATGCAACATGTACTCTTTGTTGCAAGCTTGCACTTCACCTAGCACTTCACTTTGCTCCTACTACATGCATTGAAGCACACTTTTAACAATATTGCTCCTGAAAGGGTGCCATGGTTTACTTCATAGAGGCTATTGGACTGCAAGTTTTTAAAATTTGGGGTATTCTAAATGCATTGTAAACTAAATACAATATATTTGAAATTTAAGAGATTTGTACCTATGTTTGGTTGGAACTAGGGGTGTAAGTGAACTAAGCAGGCTCACGAGCCGACTCGAGCTCGATTTGTTAACGAGGTCACGAGCCGAGTTTATTGAGCCATTAGTTCAAGCTCGAGCCATACTTGAGCTTGTATATTAAACAAGCATGAGCTCAACCTAACTCGGCTCGTAAGCTCATTGAGCCGCTCGATTAACTTAAAATTCCGGAAACCTGACCCGTTTTTAAAAACGGGTCGGGTTCGGGTTGACCCGAACAGTGCCGGGTCAGTTCCGGGTTCGACCCGAACCCGACCCGTTGACCCGAATTGACACCCCTAAATCTAGCTGGTGTATTTCAAATGCATTGAAATATTACTCTGCATTCCTTTTACTTCAAATCAAACACTAATATTTTCAAAAACCTTATATTTGGAATACTTTACACCCTCTTTGCAGCAAACCAAACAACCACTTAGTTTGAACTCATGTAGATGTTATTATAGATGGGGTTCTTTTCTTTGTGGAATTTATTTAGATGTAGATAAGAATTATTTTCATACAATACAACAATAACAACAACAAACCTTATCCCACTACATGGGGTTAGTTACATGAATCCTTTTTCTCCATGTTGTTCAATCAAGAGTCAAATTCTTATTTAAATCTAATTAAAAAAAGACTATTTTTAATAATTTATAACCAAGTCTTTTTAGATCTACCTCTACTTTACTTAATAACATAAATCATATCTAATACATCTACTATCCTAAAAAGATTATTGGAATGCTAACGTTTTATGTGACCAAACCATCTAAAGACGACTCTATCAAACTTACAATAATTCTGAAAAAAAGGAAATCAAAAACTCTCCCTAATACTTCAGTTTTCATTTCCTCCCTGCCAAAATCCAAATGATAGACACAGTTCCCGAAGCAGTGCCCTAGGTGCTGAAACCTGTTTCTCTGGATTTACTTGCTGCTGCTCTGCTGGAGTGTGCTGCTTGAAGCTTGCTTTGCCTGCTTCTATTGCACTGATTGCTTGCTGCTGTGGCACTGATTGCTGCTGCTGTTGCCACTGATTGCTGCTGTTACTGCTGCCGCCAATTGCTGCTGTTACTGCTGCCGCCAATTGCTGCTGATCCTACTGCTGCCACCATTGTTTTGGCCAAATTTCGCCAACGTTTTGGCCCAAATTTTGCCAATGTTTTGCTGTTTTTACAGCAAAATAGGACTTGGCACAGCCACTAGTTGCTGTTAGGTGGAGTAAAACCCAAAAAGAGTGGAATCTACTAAAATGAGATAACTAATTTAAAAAGAGGATCTTCAGGTAGCTAGCTAACAATATTCCTAACATTATTAGGGTAGTCGATATTTAGATTTAAAATTTCTATATTTGTGGTCGTTTATATAACATGATCAAAATTACTTGCATCACAGTCGAACACTTGAGCATACAATATCCATCTGGGTTTTGCATAACATAAATTTTGTTTACCTAATTACACTCATGTAATTGAGGCTAAATAACAAGGCATAGCACCTTTACTGGAGTATGATAAAGCTCTGTGACAGCCAAGTACAAGTACTTCAATAATTGGAACATATTCATACAATCCTCCGTGTATGAATCAAAATAATGATATTCTAACATGAATTCTTATCAAATGATTTATGCCAAAACTAGAAATTTGTATTAATATTCTTTAATTTTCTTATATTCATTCGATGTTGGAATCAATAATCTATGTAATTTGAAATTGATTTTAGTATATGGATGGAATCATTATCCTATACAGTAATTGATTGAACCTTGAAGAACCAAATGCAGCTTTGGAATTATCTTCATATTTACTTTATAGTTAATGTATTTAAAATTTCATGGATGAAAAGTTTCAAGCCATTTTTGACAGGTATACTTAAATATAACCATCAAAATGAAACTATTCTTAATGATGATGCATGTCACCTTAGGAGATGAAATATGTTTATGCATCACATATCATATTAAATTATGGCCACCTTAAGCATTGATATATTCTAGATGTGTTGGAGCCAGAAACTAAGACAAGCGTATTAATGTTCAGAAATTTATTATGACTGAATTATATTGTGCCTCCGTATAAACGATATTTTGATTTTTTACTTGAGTAAAAAAAAAACTAGCATCATTTTTTATGTTATACCTGTTTAGGGGCTATTTGTTTTGAAGTAAAATGAGTGTAAAATATTCCAAATGTAGAGGTATAGAAAGTATTGATTTTTGGTTTAAAGTAAAAGAAATACTAAAATAAAATTTTGAAGTATTTGGGATTCACCCATTAGTTCAATTT